TACACATATATATTACATTTAATATATGTTGTTATATATACATTCTGGATGGTCTTATTTTTGCATCAAAAAATAACATCTCGTAGATGTGACGACGTCATTTTCTCTTTTCCTTAGGAGTCTAATTGGTCATTTTGTGACTAAAATGTACCGTCATTATGACATCCTTTTGTTACTTGGGATGTTATATTACATGATTTAGAGAAATATGTAAAATATATATATATCTATGTTATGTTACAGTAACATATCATTTGAAATGTATCGAATATATAAATAATATATTCAAAGTTGCTGACATAGAGCCGTACCAGAACGTAACATTTACCTGTATAAGTAATATTACATGTAACATTCATGACACTCGTGTAATATTACATATACGTCTATGTTATATGCTGTGGTTTGCTGGGGCGCGTGGCGAGTTTTTTTCCAGTAATATGCTAAATCCCATAAGACCATCGGTCTCTAAATAAAACAATAACTGGATAAAGAAAATAACCGTAATGAATTAAATAATTCGTGTAATTACCTTTGATGCAGTTAACGGCTGGTAATGTCAACATTCTTTAATTATCTCTGGGCCCACCGGGCCCACTTGATGGTCACAAAAATTTATCCAGGGCTGGCGGTCTTTAAGAGGATGCCGGACCGTCCTGTTTTACTGACCATAATAATTATATATTTACTTAATATAAAAGTTTTGCAGTTTGTATGTACAAAATAAGATAGGTCTCCACTCGGAAAGAATATAAGTGAACATTTAGAAACGTGTTTAGAAGCCTAGTAAAAAAGATTACTGTGTGCAAAATTTTGCACAAAGAATTCTTTTTTACTAGGCTTCTAAACACGTTTCTAAATGTTCACTTATATCCTTTCATGCATTTCCGAGTGGAGACCTATCTTATTTTGTACATACACTGTAATTTTTTAGCTTTTCTTCGTTTTTAACATAAACTCGTGAAGTCTCATCTTTGTTTCAATGTATACTTAAATCGTGGAAAAGGATTTTTCATTTCATGTAACCAATAAAAAAATTTCGGTCTGCAAAGTATAATTATTATGACCGGTAAAACAAGACGGTCCGGCATCTTCTTAATAGTATATCTTGTTGGTGCTATTATAGTTTACGGATGAATGCCCAACTTTGCTTTATTTTATATTTTACGCGGGAATTCCCAACTCAGTGTCTACAAGTTTGCATTATTAACTATCGATAAAAATGCATTCATAAAAAAAATTTATATTTTATTAGCTTTAGTTGATACAAAGATGAAATATCAAATATTTCAACTGATGACATCGACACGAGGTGACTATTAAAGATGATCAGCCGTGGGTAAATTATCACAAATATCTTCAGATCATCGATGATGGACAGATAAGGTATTTGAAGAGCGTTGATGTTGGCGTTACCAATCATGTTGGCTAAATTAAAGATAATTTTAATCGAGTATTTAAGGGGATCCACAAGCTCGTCTGTTTTACCGACCATAATAATTAATATTTGTTTAATATAAAAGTTTTGCAGTACTTTTGGATCCCCTTAAGTTCTTTCCCCAATCATTTTTATTCCCGTAAAATTATCGGTTTTTAATAGTATCTCGTTGATATTATATTACATATTATCAATATATATTGATAATTTACTGATATACAGTTGTCGGTATTTCAGCAGATTAGTAGAGTAATAGTCGATAACAATAACGGCCGTATTTAATAGATTACCGTTGGCACGATATTGTATCAATCCTTGTTTTTCTGTTATGACACTAGATGACTATATCATGCAGTGTAAGAAATTTATTGTGTGTAACTACACATCTTAATTAATATATGTATATTTTACGTGCTTGAGATTTTTAAAGTATACACACATACACACACATATTATGTGTGTGGGGGGGAGGGTGTATATATGTACAGATAATTAAAATTTATTTTTGTATTATATTAAAAAATTATTTAATTAAATTTTGAATAAAATTAATTAAAAAAAAACATATATATATATAATCTTTTGCCCCACATAGAGAGATTTGAACAGTTGAAGCTAAACGAATCGATGTTCATTTCATAACAAACGCCGTGTGCTTTCATCAATTTTGACATATCAGGCGTCCGATAAAGGCGTTAAAAAATTTCAAGTTACTCCAGCGTATTTAACAATGTTTTCCCGAGCCGCAAGATCAGTTGTGAAACCTCTTACGTCATGCCAGATCCACAGTGATGGAAAAAATTTCAAAGTATGTATGATTTCTATTTAAACTTATGTATTGAAAGAATTTTATTATGACAATCTTACTCTTTATATGTTTTTCTACACACGTTTTCGGTTTACACACACATATTTGGATTATTACATAAATTATGTCTTCTATTTAGCTTT